GGGCACATCCCCAGTAGGGAGTGTGCAGGAGGCAGCTGATCGATGTTTCTTTCTCATCAATGTTTCTAACTCTCTATCCCTCTCCCTTCCTCTCTGTAAAAAATCAATAAAATATATGTTTAAAAAATAAATAAAAATAAATCAATAAACCTATGTTTCTATGAAAATTGAAGCTTTTGTTTTTTTGCAGCCCACATAAACTTAAACCTTGTTTATTTGGCCCGTGTAGCCTTTGAGTTTGACATGCTTGCTTTAGAGAATCTGTTGAAAGCTTCAGAACTCTCTCCTCCCAAAATGCTCGCGTGTGCACACACACGCACACATTTACATATGGACAAAAATTTGATGCAATCTGAGAGAGGAGCCAAGCCAGTTCTATGTGGCTGATTCACTGGCTCCCCTCACTGGGGGCTGGGAACCCTTACAAGGGCCCAGGCAGAGACTGGAACTATACTTAATTCATTTAGGCCCTGACTGGGGACAGGTACCTTCCCACTCACCCCACTTTGTGTCTTCTCCCTCCCTTCTTCCTGTCTCCCGCTTGCAGGAGACAAAGGGGTGAGAAATCCTGCTGTTATGGACACTTACCCTATCTTGCATGTTGGAGGTTCCAGCCGCTGCTCTAGCACAGGCTGGTCCAAAAGATACATGGTGTCATAATTCTCCAGCATAAGCTCTGCTGGGTCCTCAGTCTGACCTGGCATTCGGCCGATGGGGAAGATGCCCCACTGTACATCTTCTATGGAGCAAAGGGAGGAGACAAGTGCAGGTTGATTAGTTAGTTCTCAGACTGGTGCACAGGCCTACCTCCCCAATCTACCCACCCATCTCAGTGAGTCCACTCAGCATAGGCTCTGTGTATCTCTAGCCTCATTCCTTTCTGCATCACTTCTCCTGAGCTCCTCTCCACTTTAGCACCTCCCACCCCTTCCACACTCTCCCATACACCCTTTATGGTCCTTCTTCCTCTTTGTGTTCACACACACACACATCACCTCCACCGACCCCCGCCACCCTCACAACATGCACATAACTACAGACACTTTTGTTCCTCTCCACTCTTCGCTCACGTCCCCAGGAATGTCCCTACACACAACATCTTCAGATCTGGCTATATCACTATGTAAACCTCTCATCCTCACCCCTATTTCCACATACCCACAAATCCTGGAGTCTAGATGCCCCAGAATTTCCGCCACATCTCCTCCCCAAACCCACAGACACCTCAGAGTATCTGAATGATCTGGATTTCCTACATATGTACACAAAAACTCCCTGACCTGCTTGAAGGCCACACCACTTCTTAGGCCTTGCCTTGTGACATTTACACATCACCTCAGCATGGACTCCCTCTCAGAGATATTATGCTCCCCCTGCTCCCTGCAAGATCTTATTTCCCCCAGCTGCACACACAAAGAACACCCCGTCTCTAGCGAGGGGCTGTCTCACTGCATATCCCAGCCCCCACCACCACCTAAGTACACACAAATACCCAGACCAAGTCCTCTGTTCAACAAATGTTCTGTTTTACTCCCTGCCTCCTACACCTCTCATGCACAGGCACACAACCCAGAAAATTTTTTAAAAGATTTTTTATAGGTTTTTATTGATTTTAGAGAGAGGAAGGGAAAGGGAGAGATAGAAACATCGATGAGAAACATTGATTGGCTGCCTCCTGCACGCCCCCACTGGGGATCGAGTCTGCAACCCGGGCATGTGGCCTGACTGGGAATCGAACCATGTCCTCCTGGTTCATAGGTTAACACTCAACCACTGAGCCACACCTGCCGGGCACAACCCAGAAATCTTAATGTCACTGCATCCCCACATGTGTATGCACATAGAGCAAGCAATGGCAAAAGTGAGAGGGAAAAGTTTTAATGTTCTAGCCTTTCCATGTTCACAAACTATTACTTACCTCCCCTACCCCACACATACTCCACAGAAAATGGACTATGTCAGGCTCTCTCCACCCGCTCTGCTCTATCACTTACATACCCTCCACACAATATTATACTAAATCCCTGTCCCCATCCTTATAAAGGGTGTCCAAAATTCATGCAAGAAATAATTTTGATAGAAAACACAGGTTTATAATTAAAAATTGTAAAATTTTTATTGATTCATAAAGTATTCAGTATAGGGTTATGTATGGAATAGCAAACTGGATTATCATGTCTCGATAGTGAGCACCATTAACTGTTATTGCCTGAGCAGCC